ATCTAAACAGAGGATGTATGCAGATGTGATGTGCAGACCTGGCAACAGTTACAGGAACAGCAGTAATGATGTCAAATATTTTTCCTCTTAAAGAAGAGTGTGCTGACCACAAATCTATCTGGGTAGCAAGCCATCACAAAATGTGTGCCCTCTTCAAGAACTGATTTGCCTCGTATTTCTCCCTCTCCCCCAAAAGCACACAAAGCAAAGTGTTCTCCTAAAACCATAGGGTAGCCCAGGTGCTCATCTTCAAAAACAGGCAACATACAGATGGAGTTTTTTGAGAGAAATGCACACACAAAAAACCTCTGCACTCGCAAAACCACATGGCATCTATCACATCAGCTGGTATTTGTGATTATTACTATTATTTCCATAATTGCCCTTCTGGGATCTGCTCATTTGCAACATGTTAAGTACTTGTAATTAGCCAATAAGAGATTTGGAACTGAGCTAGTTTAAAAAAAACCGACGCCATCCTATAGCCAATATGATGGTGTGTAGCCAGCAATCCCATCTCATAACGCTAAATAGTTTCAGCCAGAATTTTTCTCTAGAGATACGTTTTATTAAAATCAGATGGAATATGTTCACTTTTGCCATGGCATGCAGTCATCTTAGACAACCCTACAAATATGCTGCAGAAAAAAAAAAAAAGGAAGCAAATAGGAGCAAAGTAATTCTGACGAATCATGAAGCATGGTATTAGCAATCGATTCCTTGCCAGGAGGAATCCTTGAGAATGCCAACCTTCATTCTGATGGAAAGAAGGAAGAACTCTGAAAACAGACCTCCTGCTCCCCCAACGCCCGCCCTTAGCTTTCCCTGTCAAGATACATTAAAGAATTCAAATTAATCAAAAAACCCAAGAGAGCTGGCTGGTTAATGAGGACAGACTCAACCTTGAGTTCAGAGAGCTTTCTAATGCATTCCACCTGGCTCTCCAAGAACAAAGTTTACAGAATATATTGACTGCAAAGGAGGCGTGCATCTAAAGAGGAACATGACCATGTGGGAGCAAAATGGCATATCATGGAAGCTTAGTGCAATACCAAAAACTTTGTTGCTCTTAATAAATTACTCATCGCCCAAGATACTGAATTTCTTTCTTTTTCTTTTTTTTTTTAAATAAAATGCTGCTTAATCATCAGGAAAGAAGTGACCAGCAATAATGAGAGGAACTGAAGCAGTTAGCCCTTGAGATTTTTCATACTGTAGCCCCCACTTTATCCATCCAAATTTAGCGCACAGTGGGGCCTCATCTCCCCAGCCAGTGAGCACAGCATTGTCTTGTCTTCCTGGTCCTCTCCCACTGAGCGGCTTCCTTCCCAACACACACAGGTGGTGACCATCCCTGCCCTACAGTTGCTGCCCTGCCTAGAACTGTTTGCCTCTCTCACCCTCTTTCCAAATCCTTCAACATCCAACTCATGTTCCCTTCTCCATGACATCTTCCCCAGCTGGACTTGCCAACACCAATTTTAGCCTTTCCTGACTATCCCTCCTACTTACCGTAAAACTAGGGAGAGAAATCCCCAGGTTCCAACGTTTCCTCTGAGCTCCAGGGCATTGTGGCCTTTTAGCAATGACAGTGGGAATGGTGTGTGGGAGAAGAGATAGATCTGTGTCTACACCACCCATCTTGGCAGTAGTTTATATTGGAACTTCATTTTCTATGTCTCATACTATCCAGTTCTATGTCTTTTTGTGTTCATGTGATTATTTTGATAAGATTTCCAGCTTTTAAAGGAACATACTGTGAAGTTAAAAAGAGAAACAACTACAAAAGATGTCATAGAGGGTTACAACTGATTGTTCTGTAGGAGCCCCTCCAGTCGGCCTCCCCTTCTTGGGGTTGGTTTGATAGGATCCAAAAAGATTTGAAGTAGGCACTCGAAGGGAATGGATTTCCTGGTGTGTTTTCTCAGATATATGCATAGTTGTATACATATGTATATGCGTTCTATTTATATACACTCAATGCATAAGCCAGATTACTAATTACTTAGCAATCAGAGATATTCCTTCCAGGAAAATACATTCCCAGGAAAAATTCTACAAGGCAGTTCCTTATGAATAGAAGATAGGTAAGAGGAGTGAATAGTGTCCAGGAAGCTATCCACCGAGCATAATCACAGCTTTTGCCTTTTCCTTCCTGGTTAAAACTGCTCTGGCTCTGCCACTTGCTGATTACGAAGTTCTGAAGCAAGTTGGTGGCTTTGGTTTAAACCCCAGCTGCAAATAGTAGCATTACCTAATTAATAGGGCAGTTATGAAAAATGCTTAGAACTGCAAGTAGCACCCACTAGGTATCTATTCAGTGTTAGTGTTTTATGATTTTTTAAAAAGATTTATTTATTTATGCATACAAGAAGTGGGGTACAGGCCAGAGGTGAGGGTGTGTGTGAGAGGATTCACCAGAGACAGAGTGGGGAGCACAATAGGCAGACTGACTGAAATATACTGCTGAGGGGAGCAGCCCACCAGACAGGAGAAGTCTGCTGAGCCATGTGTGTAGCTCCCTGGCCTGCCAGGGATCGAACTCATGCTGCAGAGTCTGCAGATATCTTCATAGTGCTGCACTTAACCCCTTGAGCCACCAGAGAGGCCCCTGTTTAATGAATATTTATAGCTTTTCACCAATACTTTAGAATGTCATTTCCATAATAATGGAAGAAAGAAGTCCATATTGGTTCCTTAAACCTTTAAAGATTATTCTCAATCCAGGAGTACCAAGAGGCAGCTCACTTTGGGATGCCTGATTGTGTGAGAGAGATCTAATTTTTTCTCCTTGTTTATACACCACACCTGGAAGTGACTCCCTTCCCTTTTCAACTCTGGTTCTTACTTTTTATTCACTAGACCAAGGTGCTGATGACCCCAGAGGCCCAAGGCCTCTGGGTAAAGTTTTATGGGCTTTTCACATCCCGCTCATTCTTTCTCCCTGCACCGTCCCCCATCACCTCACACACACAGCTCCCCGTCCCGCCTCTCACCGCCCCTAGCCTAAGTCTGCGACTGCCCACTCCCCAGCTGGACCCGGGGCCCTTCACCAAGGCGCGGCGTGGCTGACACACTCGGAAGGCAGGCGGCCCAAGGCCAGCCTGGATGACTCCTCAGGGGGAGGGCGGGCCCTGCGCCTCCTCCTCTTCCAGAGGGCTCCGGGCCCTGGGACGGAGAAGCCTTTGTTTGCTGATGTCTCTCCTCTGAGTATCCAGCTGGGGAGCTGGTGCTTTTTCCGGAACCATTTGAATGTGAAAGGTGCTGCCTTTATCTTTTTGTCCTTGTGGATAATGCAGTGGCAGCCACGCCTACCTCAGTTCCTATTGGATAGAAACGTGAATGGGGCTTTTTTTTTTTTTAAGCTTCCTACTCCCTTCCAATCGCACCTTGTTCCCAGGTGGGAAAGGTAATTTGGAGCGAGCTGGAAGTGGGGAGCAAAGAGAGGAGGGGGGCAGCCCCGGGCTGGGGGGCGGAGGCTCTCGAGCCACTGAAAGTCTGCAGCGCGCCCCGCACCCCGCGCCCTGGGCTAGAATGTCTCCGCCGTTTTACGACGTATCGAATGACTGGCTGGCTGCACCCAGCCTAAGGAGAGGCCGAGAGAACGGAATCGGGAGCTTCCTGTCCCCGCCCCCCTTCCCATGTCCCCTTATTCCTACACTCCACCCCTAGCCAAACCCTACCCACCAACCAACATCCGAAAACCACTAAGTTATGTATTATATTAGAAGGTATAGAACCAAGATATTTCTAGTGTCAGGTGGGGGAAGAGAGACAGAATAAGGGGAAACTAGGAATTTCAATTTCTTTTCCCTCAATTAAAAAAAAAAAATTCTCATTGGGCAGACAAGCCATCCTCCTGGGAGGGGGAACCCACAATTTCCCCAGGCAGCACATTCCAGAGAGTGAATAAATTGTCCAATGATGCTGGACCCGGGCCACACAAATACACAACGCTTAAATACAAGATGGGGAGTTGTTTGCAATCCTCTGCAAGATGCCAAAGGGCTTAACCGCCGCAGGTGACCACGCACAGCTTCCGCGGTGCTGGCTGTTGTAGTTACCCTACTTTCCTGCTGGAAAATGAACCAACACAGTGACTTGTCCAGGGTCACACACCAAGCTTGGGACCGAAATCGCCTGACTCCTCCTTCCTGGCTGTAACCAGCCGACAACGCCACCTTATTACTGTGCTATCATTCAAATCTGAATCATTTAAATTGCTCTTAATTGCAGGCCTACAGTGAACTGTAACCCTCTTGTGACTATAACTGCCAGGCAAAGCAAGGTAGGAATGCCTGAAATGTTACAAACTCTTGAATATGGAATTAAAATGCTGGGGGAGAGGGAGTAGGAGAAAAGTTTTAAAACTTGGCTTTGAAACTTCTGACAAGTACCGAATTCAATTTAGATTTTTTTTTAATGAGTTTGAAAGGTCACCCCAATTTATTATAATATTGAAACAGAGGAGCACTTGGGATTCAAATAGATGCTATCCAAAAGGCAGTAGGGGGTAAACATCAGCTTCACACCCTTCCTTTATCTGCCCACTCTAGTGCGGTCTGGCTTTGGGTGTTTAAACTTCCTTTTTTAACCCTTTTTGGTAGGCAGCTATTAGGAGGGTGGCTAAGCAACCTGGCATAAAATGCAGATCTGTGCACAGTGCTAGATGCGTGCTGAGCTCAAGAAAGAAAGTAAATCCCCCCCTGGCAAATTGCTCTAACTGATTCATTTGTCTGAGCAGAGACGCCATCTACCTGCTCGCAGGTATTCAGGTAAATGACAGGTAGGCGGGGCCTACTGACTCTTTCAATAGCTAAGGTCCCAGCAATGTTTTATCTGTTGAGGCGCCCGTGATGTCACACATTTCCTGCCCTCCACCAACCAATGCCCTCCTCCCTCCTCGAGGCACCTGTATACTGAGGTTGAGGCTGCTCACCTCTCTGGTGGCCCTAGGAGCTGCTGGAATCACCCACAAGGCATGAAAGCTGTGAGGTTGCTGCTGCTTTGAGAGTCCCAGAGCCACAGTTGAAAAAGGTGAGTTAAACCTTCCATTTTTCTCTTTTAGCATTTAGACCACTAGGCCCTGAGGGGTCTGAATGAGAATTTGAATGGAAAATAGTAGCTGAATGGCTGAGCACTGGGTGTTTGGCCCAGAGGAAGCAGCGCTTTTGAGAGGCTCTAGTGGAGGGATGCCTTTGACATTTTGGTTGCACTAGAAAGTTCTCCAGACAGATATTTAATCCTTTCTGTTTCTCTTAATCATTAATCCAGTCTCTGCTTGTCCGGAAAGTTGATCTGTTTTTTTTTTTAACCCTGGAGTGGAGTGAAGACTTTTTTTTTTTTAAACCGCAAGGGTGAAGAAGACCTATTCAGCACATTTAACGGGGTTTGGCAGGCCAGCATCTACTGAATTCTAAGCTGTCTTATTTTGCCTGACTTTCTGCATTCATCTCACCAGAGTCAATTTCAATCTAAACCTGCGAGACATCCTTAAGATCCCCCTCCCATTTACCTCTTCCTCAGGTATATGTTGTTGCCCTACGCAGAAACCCTCTACTCTAGTTTTCTTCCCTTTTCTTCTCTCAGAAGTCTATTGTTTTCTTTGTTCTTTGTTGAATACTGTTTTAAAACCACTTTGCCATCTGGATCAGAATTGTTGACTTTCAGTTCTAGACTGGCTGCCTGCTGACCTGTGAAAGTAAAGATTATTTCCTCAGTGCTTACAGAAACATAACACACCTTCAGATCTGATTTTTAATTTTTTAAAAAATGCTTCCTTTTTATTTTTATAGCAAATATACCAAGGAGATTGTTCTGACAGGAACTGACTTTATTTTTAAGTAATTTTACCTCTAGGATCCATTTTTGTTTTCTTAATCCTGATCACACAGCCTGTATGACTTTTGTTCTTGACAGTCTTTGTCACTCTACACCCAATATTCTAGTTTGAGAAAGGAAGGAGACCATCTCCAAACTCAGTTCCTTAGTACGATAAGCTGGAAAAGTCAGAATGTAAAATCAACCTGTGACGGAGACTCAGCTATTTTTCTGAGATTTCAGTTAGCCAATATGTTTGCAAGAGAATAATTTGTTAGGAATTATGCTCATCTTTATGCACCCGGAAATTCAAAGTACATGTAAAATCTTCAAAAGTATGAATTGAAACAAGCTGAGGAGAGTCTTGTCTCAAGCACTTGCTTCTCCCCGCGAAGTGTCTGCTCTGCACTTGTTGCTGGAGTCTCTGACTCTGGAAGGCTGTTAGTGTTTCACTGACCTTTGTCTTCTGTTCTCCCTTCAGTGGTGTGCTTGGGTGGTGGCTACTGCTAGTCCTTTCAGACTGTTCTTACTTGACTGAGGGTTTTTTGTTAACAAAGGAGAGAAAAAAGTCTCCTGTATCCTGAATTTTTCAGATAAAAATGTGCCTTTAAAGTCAGAAACCTCGGCACAAGACCAGATTCCCTCTGGCCTTCCACGGCTCATGAGTTCTTGTACAGTTGTTCATTTAGGATTAAACGAATCGTCTCATCACTATGCGTAAATGTCCCTGGCACAAAAGCTTGGATACTATGGCCCCAAACATAAGAAAGTCAGAAAATTACAGAGGAGACTTCAGATCAGGTTGTCAATAACACAGTTGTTCTTTTGGATGTCGCATATGAGTGTGACCAACAGATGAAAAGACCCACAGGGGTTCCCTCCCTGGGGACTAGGGCAGGAGGCCTGATTGAAAAAAGGGTATCTTTTCACCTATATCCTTGAGCAAGTTACTTAACTTCTATGATCCTTATTATCAGCAAAACAGGAGCTAATAATGCCTATGAGACAATGTGGTTGTGAGACATAAATGAGGTAACATACAGAGAACATTCAGCAGCTAATGTCTGGTGCCAGAGGGTACCAAACAAAGGCTAGATGCTTCTGGAGGAATTTCCCTGAGTTGTTTGGAGGAGATAATCACTGGAGGAGATAGTCAGATCTCATTGAGATAAAAGATCTTATGTGGTTGCAATTATTAGGAATTCTGGTAGTTCTTATTATGGTTATTAAGTATAAGTAATTAACTCCAATGTTAACAGTTCAGAGAAAGAAAACGAACACAGGTGAATGCTTAAACAGTGTCATTAAGCAAGCCTGGCAGATTGGTCTCCACTAGCCTCCCAGGCTGTGTATAGGAGCTGCTGGTCACTGCTGTCCTTCAAGTCTCTCATCACAGCAAACCCATCCAGTGTGGTCCTCCACAGGCCTTTGGGGGAAATGGCCTGTTGTCATTTGCTATAATCGGTCTTGGCAAGTGGCCCTTTCTGCTTTCCATTTTGTTATCTCCGGGGTCTATGGCTTGCCTGGTCTCTCCTCCAATCTTGCAGATAAACACTTCACAGCCGCTGCAGCCCTAGCGAGCTGAGGTGCCAAGTCTCTGGGTTGAGGAGTGGCCAGCTGGGAGCCTGCATTGTGCTATGAAAGGGGACTTATGCACCTCTTGGTTATGCTTGCTCCCCCATAGAATATCCTGTTGCTTTTGATGACCTTGAGTCATTGCTACAGAGCAGATGTGTTCACAAGCCCTGGAACCATCTCCAGGTCTGATCCTATTTTGAAAGGGAATGTAAGCAACTTTTCATCATTCAAGAGCAAGATAACAGTCTAGTGGACTGAGAAAAGAGGTTGATAACCTTGAACCTGAGACTAGCTTGCTTCGGAAACCCTGAGGAAGAACTTCAAACTCCCTGCTCATCAGTTTCCTGGTCTAATTCCTAACTCCCCTCCCAAAAAGGGATGCTAAAATGCACCCCCACTTTTTTTTTTTTTGCCTCGTAAACCCTCTGTTCCTTCACAGGAGCTAGATGGGCTGCAGCAGGACTGAGTAAGTCAGATTGACTGTAGGGGGTGGACAGTAACTCACCAGGAAATATTTATCTTATTCATTTAATTCTACGTGGAACAGTGTTAATCCTTAGAATTGCAGTGTGGTCTCAGGCATCAAACTGCCTGGGTACAACTTTACCATGTACTATTTGTGCCAGGAACAGGTTATTTAACCCCACTAAAGCTCAACAGTAAAAGAGTTACAGTGAGGATGAAATAAGTTGAAATATGTAAAGAACTGGCACATGTTGACTATTACTAGTATTATTTTCTTAAAAGAAAGGTATAGCAGGCAGAATTGGAGATTGAGGTTTGAGGACCGGTTCTGTCATTTAATTACGATGTTCAATAAGTTACTTAATATCTCTTTGTGTCAATTTTATCATCTGAAAAATGAAATCCTTATCAGACTTGAGGCTATATTGAGAAGTAATTGAAACAATTATATGTAAAGTGCCTGGTAGTAAATGCTCAATTAATGTTAACTATTCATGTGTTATAGAAAATCATGTTTGTGTTGGTTAAAGTTAAACATCTTGGACCATGCTACAGTTTGGAAATCATAACAATGGCCCCACACAACTTGAGGCAAGACTCTGAGTAGAAAAGATTTCCAGAAAAACCCTGAAAATCTTAGAAGGAAAATCTAGATTGTCATGTTTATCTTGGAGCCCCAGGATTGAAATGCCTGGACTCATGCAAAACTGTGGGCAGTAGGAGTCTGGGATTTAAATAAACAGTGGATTCTCCCAGAACCGCCATCTCTGGTCCCCTGGCTTCTAGTGTCTCTCTTTAAGATTTGAATTCCTCAGTTAAAGTGGAGAAAAAAGGCTCTGCTAAGATCTGACTGCAGAAAGGCCAGTCTCTAGACACTGCCAGGAGATGACACGCAAGGGAGGCTGTGCAAATGTGCCTGCTCACGGCTTCAGTACTCAGGGACTTCCTGGCTTGTTACATAACCACCCCTGATATTTATGTCCAGGCACACGTAGACTCACTTTTATGTGGGTGGCAAATTTATTGTCCCATGACAGTGCCTCCAAAGTATCAAGAGCTTTTAAAAACTATTTGAAAGACTACAACCCTTTTCCCGGGTTAGTGGGATTTAACCATTTACTATCCCCAAAGAATAAAGATAACATGGAAACTATACAAGTTGTTAAGTATAAGCACTGAGCTCATATCTGAAACACAAAATGTTGGTCATCTCTTATCATCTTCTTACAGTCACTGTTTCCTCTTATCTCCTTTTGTCCTAAAAGATGAGGACATCATACTGACGAGTGTTGGTTTTCAGGAACAGCCTCTCAGATCCATGGAAGAGAGAACTGTCTAAGAATTAAAGTTGTTTAAAATCTAGTAGGTTGCCTTTTGGGGTCCTGAATTCCCTACCACCAAAGCTAATTGTTTTTTGATATATTTAGTGGAATATTTAATATTTAGTAAATTATATTTAGTGATATATTTAATATATTTGGTGTGTGTTTGCAGAACGATTGAATGGATACCAAAGGGTTGCTGTGTTTCTTTAGCAGCACATACTCACATCTGTAAAATGAAGATTATATCACTGACCTCATAAAATCTTCTTAAAGATTAAATGAAAAAAAAAGATTAAATGAAAAAATAAATGGAAAGTACCATTGTAATTTCAAAAAATAAATGGAAATACCACTGTGTTATCTTTTACCTAGTGAATTGTTAATTAAATAGTAATATTTACTTCATTTTATTTAATATTTCTAAAAATGAGGATAAAGAAGGGATTCCTGCTTCGGGTAGTGGGTACACAAAGTGACTTCCAAATTTGAGCTTTGTTGTGTTTTGTTTGTTTGTTTGGTTTTTTAAGATTTATTTATTTATGCACACAAGAACTGGGGCCCAGGCCAGAGGTGCGGGGGTTGGGGAAGGGTGAGAGGATTCACCAGAGACAGAGTGGGGAGCAGAACAGGCAGACTGACTAAAATACACTGCTGAGGGGAGCAGCGGGCGAGACAGGAGAGGTCTGCTGCGCCATATGGGTAGCTACCAGGCAGGGATTGAACTCAGGGATCGAAGTGGGGGATCAATCTCATGTTGCAGAGGCTGCGGATAGCTTCACAGTGCTGTGCTTAACCATTTGTGCCACCAGGGAGGACCCTGAGCTTTGTTGTTTTTTATAATGGTCTTTT